GTCACCCACCTTTGGCTTGGTAGCATCGCCTTCTGTCCACTGGGCCAGCTGATCTCTCTCTATGTAGATATTGTTGTTAAGTGCCATTGAGTCACAGGCGACTCATAGCAACCCTATGAAGGAGACTCCTCAATGCTTGGGTTCATTTTCTTTTTTAATCTTAAATGTTCTTAATGTGTTCTGTGTACAAGTGTTCTATAACTGTATGCTTTGCAAAAATTTTCTCCAATTCTTTGGTTTTCTTTTTCACTTTAAAAAGATGTTTGTTATTATTATTGTTACGGACATCCACAGGAGAACATACACCCTTCAACCATTTCTATATGTACAATTCAGTGACTTTGATTATTGAAATGATGCAATAATTCTTACCTTGCTTTCCCAAATTGTTCCTCCTGTCACAACATAACTTCACTACCCTCTAAGTTAATTATTTACTCTTTGAAGTTGCTGTTGTCAGTTGGATATCATCTAGGCTTGAAACTTGGTTTCTTGCTTTGGGAATTGCAGCTCTAGTTTCATGAGTCTTTTTGGTTAACTGGCCCGTCTCGTATTTTTTTATTGCTCTTGTGTACCATCCAGTCAGAAGTGACTCAGGGCTGACCCTCCAGTGGGTTTGCAGTGGCAGTAAATAGCAAAGGATTAGATGGTCCATCTTTGGTTGAACTCAAATGTGATCCTTTGAGTTGGCAGTGCACCTCCTTTCCACTAAGCTACTAGAGCTCTCTCTCATTTTCAGTACTTCTGTTACATCTTCTTGTTCACAGTGTAGTACCTGTGGTCATTCAAGTTTCCATGCAAGCACCGAAGATATGATTGGTTTTTATTCACCAGAAGCAACAGTGGAACTAGGAGCATCAGGAATAGGAGAAGAATACAGAAAATGTGTCTAAATGTCTCCTTGATAAATTCCCCATTTGCTTTGAGATCAGAAGAACGTGATGGTGTCTACCTACTATTAAACATTTTAATCATAAATGCTACAGAAGAATCCTGATCAAAAGCAAGAAATATGAAACAATTTTAAATTATAATGGAATTGTGGTTGTAGGAACATAAAAAAATATTTTCCTGAAATAAATTTTAAATATGAACCAACATATACTTTGTCGTCATATTGTTAAGTATTTTCATGTACAACTTATAGCAACCCTATGAACAACAGATTTGAACCTTCTCCTATCCTGTTCTATCCACATCATCTCTGGCACTTTGGAGCACATTGCTATAGTCATTAAGGATCTTCTGACTGAAAGTCCACTTCTCTTTCACTGAACCTCCACCTTTAAAAACATGAAGTCCCTCTCCAATAATAGCCTCTCCTACCAACATTCCCAGTATTTGTGAGGTAAAGCTTTCGCATCCTTGCCTCCAAGGAGTACTCTGGTTTAACTTTATCCAAGATAATATTTGTTTATTCTTTTGACAGTCCATATTGGAGTACTCCAACACTGCAACACAGATCAATTCTTCTGCTGTCATCCTTACTGCTTATTTAGTTCTCAGATGCATGGCAGGTGATTGGAAAAAATATGAGTTCAATCAGGTCCATCTGAGACTTTAGACAGATATTGTTCTTTAGGCCTCTTGAGGGATCCTGGAGACTATACTTTTTCAATGCTTCATGTCTCCAGATCTCTTAACTGCTGGTACCCAGGGCATTGATTGTGGATTGAAGGAAAAAGAAATCATTATAGTTTCAATTTTCTCTTCATCTGTCATGATGTTTCCCATTGGCCCCTTGGTGATGACTTTTGTTTTGTTGCTGTTGAGATGTAATCCATATTGAAGGCTGCAGTCCTTCATATTCTGACAAGTGCCTCAAGTCCTCCTTGCTTTCAGCAAGTGTCATCTACATAATGCTGTCTTTTGATGAGTCTTCCTTGAATCCTGATGCCACGCTTTTCTTCATAAAGTTTAGCTTCTCAAATGAGTTGCTGTCATACAGATTGAGTAAGTATGGAAAAAGGATACAGTTCTGATGTACACCTTTTCCCAATTATTAAAAATGTAGTATTCCCTTGCTTTGGACAACAGTTTCTTGATTTAGGAAGAGGTTTTCTTATAAGCATAATTGTTCTAAAATTCCTGTTCTTCTCAATGTTAGTCATAGTTTGTTATGATCCACATAGTCAAATGCCTTTACAAATTCAACAAAACATGAATAGACTTTCTTCTAATATCTGTTTTCAGCCAAAATTTATCTGACATGAGCAAATATATCTCCGTGTCATGGCCTCTTCTAAGCCCAGTCAGAACTTCAAGCAGTTCTCTGTAAAGTGTCCTGTTCTAGCCATTTTTAAAATATACCTTGAGGTCTTCTTTTATAACCAAATAATAATAATAATAAAAATATCCTGACACTGAGTTCCCACTTAAAGAGACCTTACATTGTTGTTGTTAGGTGCCATCAAGTCAAGTAAAACTGATAGTGACCCTGTGAACAACAGATCTTAACCCTACCCTATTCTGTGCCATTCTCGAAGTCTCTGACCCCCTCAAACCCATTTCTGCAGTCATTATCAATCCACCTGGTTGAGGGCCTTCCTTTCCTTCACCATCCCTCCATCTTTCCAAGCATGATGTCGCTCTCAAGAAACAGAATTTCCTAGCAACATACCCAAAGTATGTGAGATGAAGATTTATCATCTTTGCCTCCAAGAAGCACTCTGGCTGCACTTTCTCCAAGCCATATCTGTTTGTTCTTTTGGCAGACCATGGGAAATTTAGTACTCTTCCCCAACACCAGAGTTCAAAGGCATCAATCTTTTTTTTTGCCATCCTTATTCATTTTCCAGCTCTCAGATCCATAGCAAGTGACTGAAAATGCCATGGCCTGAATCAGATGCATTTTAATCCTCAGAAACCACGTGTAATTTCTCCAGGGTTGTAATCTTCGTGGGAGCACACTGGCTCATTTTTCTCCCATAAGGTAGCTGGTGGGGTCAAACAGAATCT